GGATCAATGTCTTGTGTTTATGGATATAAATGCTCCATGTCTTATGCGTCTGGGTGCAAGGTATCAATATCTTGTATTTATGGGTACAAGGTATCAATATCTTGTATTTATGGGTACAAGGGATCAATATCTTGTATCTATGGGTAGAAGAGATCAATTTCTTGTATTTATGGGTACAATAGAAATCAATGTCCCGTATTTATGGGTACAAGGGATCAATGTCCCGTATTTATGGGTACAAGGGATCAACGTCTTGTATTTATAGGTACAAGGGGTCAATGTCCTATATTTATGGGTACAAGGGATCAATGTCTTGTATTTATGGGTATAATAGGGATCAATGTCCCGTATTTATGGGTACAAGGGATCAATGTCCCATATTTATGGGTACAAGGGATTAATGTCCTGTATTTATGGGTACAATAGGGATCAATGTCCCGTATTTATGGGTACAAGGGATCAATGTCCCGTATTTATGGGTACAAGGGATCATTGTCTTATATTTATGGGTACAAGGGATCATTGTCTTATATTTATGGGTACAAGGGATCAATGTCTTGTATTTATGGGTACAAGGGATCAATGTCCCGTATTTATGGGTACAAGGGATCAATGTCTTGTATTTATGGGTACAAGGGATCAATGTCTTGTATTTATGGGTACAAGGGATCATTGTCTTATATTTATGGGTACAAGGGATCAATGTCTTGTATTTGTGGGTACAAGGGATCAATGTCTTGTATTTATGGGTACAAGGGATCAATGTCCCGTATTTATGGGTACAAGGGATCAATGTCCCGTATTTATGGGTACAAGGGATCAATGTCCTGTATTTATGGGTGCAAATGCTGAATGTCATGTGCGTCTGGGGACAAAAGAATTGTCTTGTATTGATGGGTACAAGTTGTATTTATGGGTACAAGGGATATAAATGTCTTGTATTGATGGGTACAAGTTGTATTTATGGGTACAAGGGATCAATTTCTTGTATTTATGGGTACAAGGGATCAATGTCTTGTATTTGTGGGTACAAGGGATCAATGTCTTGTATTTTACGGGTACAAGGGACCAATGTCCTGTATTTATGGGTGCAAATGCTGAATGTCATGTGCGTCTGGGGACAAGGAATTGTCTTGTATTTGATGGGTACAAGGGATAAATATCTTGTATTGATGGGTAAAAGTTGTATTTATGGGTCACAAGGGATCAATTTCTTGTATTTATGGGTACAAGGGATTAATGTCTTGTATTTATGGGTACACGGGATTAATGTCTTGTATTTATGGGTACAAGGGATCAATGTCTTGTATTTATGGGTACAAGGGATTAATGTCTTGTATTTATGGGTACAAGTTGTATTTATGGGTACAAGGGATAAATGTCTTGTATTGATGGGTACAAGTTGTATTTATGGGTACAAGGGATCAATTTCTTGTATTTATGGGTACAAGGGATCAATGTCTTGTATTTATGGGTACACGGGATTAATGTCTTGTATTTATGGGTACAAGGGATTAATGTCTTGTATTTATGGGTACAAGGGATCAATGTCTTGTATTTATGGGTACAAGGGATCAATGTCTTGTATTTATGGGTACAAGGGATCAATGTCTTGTATTTATGGGTACAAGGGATTAATGTCTTGTATTTATGGGTACAAGGGATCAATGTCTTGTATTTATGGGTACAAGGGATCAATGTCTTGTATTTATGGGTACAAGGGATTAATGTCTTGTATTTATGGGTACAAGTTGTATTTATGGGTACAAGGGATCAATGTCCTGTATTTATGGGTGCAAATGCTGAATGTCATGTGCGTCTGGGGACAAAGAATTGTCTTGTATTGATGGGTACAAGTTGTATTTATGGGTACAAGGGATAAATGTCTTGTATTGATGGGTACAAGTTGTATTTATGGGTACAAGGGATCAATTTCTTGTATTTATGGGTACAAGGGATCAATGTCTTGTATTTGTGGGTACAAGGGATCAATGTCTTGTATTTACGGGTACAAGGGACAATGTCCTGTATTTATGGGTGCAAATGCTGAATGTCATGTGCGTTGGGGACAAGGAATTGTCTTGTATTGATGGGTAGAAGGGATAAATATCTTGTATTGATGGGTACAAGTTGTATTTATGGGTACAAGGGATCAATTTCTTGTATTTATGGGTACAAGGGATTAATGTCTTGTATTTATGGGTACACAGGATTAATGTCTTGTATTTATGGGTACAAGGGATCAATGTCTTGTATTTATGGGTACAAGGGATTAATGTCTTGTATTTATGGGTACAAAGTTGTATTTATGGGTACAAGGGATAAAGTCTTGTATTGATGGGTAAGTTGTATTTATGGGTACAAGGGATCAATTTCTTGTATTTATGGGTACAAGGGATTAATGTCTTGTATTTATGGGTACACGGGATTAATGTCTTGTATTTATGGGTACAAGGGATCAATGTCTTGTATTTATGGGTACAAGGGATCAATGTCTTGTATTTATGGGTACAAGGGATTAATGTCTTGTATTTATGGGTACAAGGGATCAATGTCTTGTATTTATGGGTACAAGGGATCAATGTCTTGTATTTATGGGTACAAGGGATTAATGTCTTGTATTTATGGGTACACGGGATTAATGTCTTGTATTTATGAGTACAAGGGATCAATGTCCTGTATTTATGGGTACAAGGGATCAATGTCTTGTATTTATGGGTACAAGGGATCAATGTCTTGTATTTATGGGTACAAGGGATTAATGTCTTGTATTTATGGGTACACGGGATTAATGTCTTGTATTTATGGGTACAAGGGATCAATGTCTTGTATTTATGGGTACAAGGGATCAATGTCTTGTATTTATGGGTACAAGGGATTTAATGTCTTGTATTTATGGGTACAAGGGATCAATGTCTTGTATTTATGGGTACAAGGGATTAATGTCTTGTATTTATGGGTACAAGTTGTATTTATGGGTACAAGGGATCAATGTCTTGTATTTATGCGTACAAGGGATCAATGTCTTGTATTTATGGGTACAAGGGATCAATGTCTTATATTTATGGGTACAAGGGATCAATGTCTTGTATTTATGGGCACAAGGGATCAATGTCTTGTATTTATGGGTACAAGGGATCAATGTCTTGTATTTATGCGTACAAGGGATCAATGTCTTGTATTTATGGGTACAAGGGATTAATGTCTTGTATTTATGGGTACAAGGGATCAATGTCTTGTATTTATGGGTACAAGGGATCATTGTCTTATATTTATGGGTACAAGGGATCAATGTCTTGTATTTATGGTTACAAGGGATCAATGTCTTGTATTTATGGGTACAAGGGATCAATGTCTTGTATTTATGGGTAAAGGGGATCAATGTCCTGTATTTATGGGAGCAAATGCTGAATGTCATGTGCGTCTGGGAAAAGGAATCAATGTCTTGTATTGATGGGTACAAGTTGTATTTATGGGTACAAGGGATCAATGCCTTGTATTTATGGGTACAAGGGATCAATGTATTGTATTTATGGGTAAAAGGGATCAATATATTGTATTTATGGTTACAAGGGATCAATGTCTTGTATTTATGGGTAAAGGGATCAATGCCTTGTATTTATGGGTACAAGGGATCAATGTCCTGTATTTATGAGTGCAAGGGATCAATGTCCTGTATTTATGGGTGCAAATGCTGTGAATGTCATGTGCGTCTGGGGACAAGGAATCAATGTCTTGTATTGATATGGGTACAAGTTGTATTTATAGGTACAAGGGATCAATGTCTTGTATTTATGGGTACAAGGGATTAATGTCTTGTATTTATGGGTACACGGGATTAATGTCTTGTATTTATGGGTACAAGGGATCAATGTCCCGTATTTATGGGTACAAGGGATCAATGTCTTGTATTTATGGGTACAAGGGATCAATGTCCCGTATTTATGGGTACAAGGGATCAATGTCTTGTATTTATGGGTACAAGGGATCAATGTCTTGTATTTATGGGTACAAGGGATCAATGTTTTGTGTGTCTGGGGACAATGGATCATGTGACTTATTCCTGTATGAAAGCAGCGGTTAATTGACCCAGCACTGTCACATGGGGTGTGGCGAGAGTCCATAGACCTGAGAAAGCTCCAAATTCAACTTGACCCTTACACGGGGCTTTTGTTCTTCTCAGCCGCTGAAGGTAGCAGCAGCGGAGCAAAAGGAAGGTATGTACATTATGTACTGCTGGGGAAGGAGAGAACATAGGGGACCTTTCACTTTGCCCTCTAATGACAAACCACAGGTTCACTTTAACTCACCAGCAATTCTGATTGGTTTCCATGGAATACCACAATCATAGCTATCCGCATTGACTTGCTAAGAAAACCCTTTAGGTACAAATAATGAGGGGGGTCACAAGATTCGTCAGACTGCCATTATTTTTCTCTAGTATTCCAATTGCTAAAAATTATGTGAAAGGTCTCTCAGACTAGAAGAGTTTCATGGAAAGGACCTTTATTTATAGACTGCTGATGTGGCCTGTTTAAACTCCTATGTTCCTTAAAAAGTATTGAGAGCAAAAACCTTTTCAAAGTGTTTGGAAGGCTTAGAACCCCTGCCATTTTTTGTTACTGCTGACCCAACTGGAGAAATGTGCCTTCTCTATTTGTCCTGGTGGTCATTGCCACAGAGAACGTAAGGGGAAACTCAAAAATTTGAGTTGTCTTTGGAAGAGGAATAGAGGGGAAATCTTCTAATGGGAACCTGTACATTGGGGGGGTCAAAACAACCTCTCAACAAATGAATGGTCCAACATAGGAAGGTAAATGCTGCAGGCCAAGACTCAGCAGTCTTTCAAGGGCAGTGAGGTTGACCACCATCGCCGTAGCATACTGCAATCCTATAGCATGAGAATCGATGACAGTAGCAAGGACTTATGCACAGTAGACCTTCTATAACACTTGAAGACAGATTTTTTTCTCTCTCTTTCAGCCTTGACCGAATTCTCTCCTCTCTGATTCTTCAGGGAAGTTCAAGCTGTTGGATCAGGACCGGGATGTGCGGGAGCCTGTGCAGTATTTCAGCAGTGTAGAAGAGGTGGCAAGCGTCTTTCCAGACCGGGTGTTCGTCATGGAAGCCATCACCTTCAGTGTCAAGGTCAGACATTGGGCAGCCTGTATGGATGTGTGTGTGTGAGCCCAAGAGGAACATGGGCAATGTGAATTGTGGCTTAATTGTCATACTATAGTCCTGTAAAGCCAATCTTTAACCCTTTCGCTGCCAGAGGCATTTTTGCATTTTTTTTTTTGCACATTTTTAGGCCTAAAGATTTCACAAAACCCCCAAAACATGATATATTTCCTGAAAGCAGACACCCTAGAGAATAAAAAAGTGTTACTTCCAATTTTTTACATCATGCAATGTTACTGCAAAGGTCAATGAAATGCAAAATTTCAGTAAAAAAAAACAGTAAAGTGAATTTTAGGGCAAACAAATGCAATAAATGACCCACATTTTTGGTAAAAATATAAAAGATGAGATTTTACCAAGTAAATAGATACCTGACATGCCAAACTTTAAATTTGTGCGCACCTATGAAATGGCGACAAACTTCAATACCCTATATTTGCTATAGGCGACGCTTCAAAAGTCCCTACAGGTCATCAGTTTAGCATTTACGGAGGAGGTCTTGTGCTAGAATGATCACTCCAGCGTGCGTGGCGATATGTAACATTTGTATCCCAATCAACAGTTTCATGCGTAGATGCCGATGTGTGCCTTTACGTTTGTACGTGCGTATATGTTTAGGAGGGGCCTAAACATTTTTTTTTTTGGGGGGGGGATATTATGTGCTTGGATGGTACTTTATTTTTGTGCAATACAAAAAAAAAAACATTTTTACTTACCTTTTTTTTTATCACATAGGGGACACAAAGTCCCCTATGTGATGATTTTTAGGTAACAGTTTCTCTAAAAGACCCCAAATGTCTCCTCTGGCCTCCACTCAATGTACTGCAATGCAGGCTGCGTTGCAATACATTGCTTCTCAGCTGTGCTAGCCGGGGAAAGTGACAGAGGTGACACGGAAGTGACGTCACCAGGGGCGGACTCACCATTTGGAAACTCGGGCACTGCCCGATGACCCGGGGTCAGTAGGGGCCCCATGAGATGCCCCTGGTACCTTTTTCATAGGCTTTTTTGAGTTTGGGCAAGGACACAGGGGCCCCATGATCCCCAATTGCCCGGGACCCCATGAGTTGTCAGTCCGCCCCTGGACGTCACACATATCACCTTCTGGGGCACAGGAAGAAGGGGAGGAGAGTGGACATACCTCTCCTGTATCTGACGGCACCCTGCATGGTGCTTCCCAGGCCTGCAAGCGGAGCCTGATACATGGCAGGAGCATTCCTGTGGGGGGGGGGGGGGGGTTGCACCGGTACCGGGAGCTGTGGAAGCGATCTTTTAACATTTTATTTTTATTACAAATGGAATAACAAGGACTGTATATGTTGAAAAATGAATTTGTAAAACAAATTTACCCTCCTACCTGTCAATTAAGGTCTGCGGGGAGGATAGAAAAAACTATCACATACCACAGAGGGCTCCAACATTTCCAAAAAAAGGGCAACTTAGTGTCCTTTAAACTTCAGGTGATCCAGATCTTGACCAGAGGGGGTAGAATATGCCCCAGTGTCACTGGGAGCAAACAATGCTTCAGGCTTGATGGTCAGTGGGAAAACAAAAAATTTGCACAGACTATGGTCAGTATTCATTGGTATTAGTGGGAGGAATAGTGCCCCATCGTTGGTGTCAGTGGGAGGAATAGTGTCCACTGTTGGTGTCAATGGAAGGATTAGTGCCCATCGTATGTGTCAGTAGGAGGAATAATGCCCCATTGCGGGTGTCAGTGGGAGGAATAGTGTTCACTATTGGTGTCAATGGAAGGATTAGTGCCCTATCGTATGTGTCAGTAGGAGGGAGAGTGCCCCATCATTGGTGTCAGTGGGAGGAATAGTGTCCACTATTGGTGTCATTGGTAGGATTAGTGCCCCATCATATGCGTCAGTAGGAGAAATAGTGCCTCATTGTTGGTGTCAGTGGGAGGAAAAGTGTCCACTATTGGTGTCAATGGAAGGATTAGTGCCCCATCATTGGTATCAGTGGGAGGAATAGTGTCCACTATTGGTGTCAGTGGGAGGAATAGCGCCCCATCGTATGTTTCAGTAGGAGGAGTAGTGCCCCATCGTTGGTGTCAGTGGGAGGAATAGTGTCCACTATTGGTGTCAATGGAAGGATTAGTGCCCCATCGTATGTGTCAGTAGTAGAAATAGTGCCCCATTGTTAGTGTTAGTGGGACGAATAGTGCCACATTGTTGCTATCAGTAGCAGAAATTATGTCCCATTGTTGGTTGTGTCTCATCATTATTTTCAGTGAGAAGAAAAGTGCCTCAAGGGCCGGATAAAGGCAAGCAAAGGGCTGCATCCAGCCCACAGGCCACAGTTTTGAGGTTACTGATCTAGTGTAACCCAAAAATCAACCAACTGTAGGAGGTACAAGATAGAGCCCACAAGCAAACTAAACTGAAACCTTTCCCCTGCAGTGCCCCTAGTGGCAGAAATGCATATTTCTCTTGTTGGAGAACTGCATTGAGAAGTACAGTGTTACTTGAATTGCATTACAGGATTTGCTTGTCTTTAGCTGAGAGAACTTGCAATATTTAAGACATTACGTCTCAGAAATCTTTTATTACAGTCTTCATTTTATATAGTTTGAATATCATGCCATAGATATATTATTTTTCATTATAAATGAACATATTCCACACTTTTTTTTTTAATTTTTCAGGGGAAAAAACTGTTGTGGAAAACAAAGGAAAAAAAGTTTCCCCAATTTTTCATTTTTTTCCCAGGTATTCCCATCTCTAGTCATGTCAGTTCAAACTTGTGATTTAATGGCTTGTCGGCCCACTTTTATTTAAAAAAAAATACAGACAGCTGCTCATGCAAGGGGTTCTTTTCCAGCAAAAACAGATAAAAGGAACAAACAGAACCACTTGGCCTTCTCAGTTTGTAGTCCTAGCTCCCCGCTTTCAACCATTGTAGTTATAATATTCAGGTACACATGCCCACTCCTGGTCTCTCCATAGGAGTTCTCTGGATTCCCCAGACTCTCTCACTTTTCCATTGACCTACACAATCCCTCCAGTCCTCTAGACTTGCTAAATTGCCAAAGCTTCCTGAGTCCCACAGACTTGCTCTGCTGTCCCAACTCTCCCAGTCCAGCAGGTAGGGAATCTCTCCAAAATGGAGTGTTCTCTCTTGGCAGGACCACATGTCCCACCTGGCTGGAACAAACAGCTCTCTCCTGTCAGGGCTCTGTCTCCAAATGGGAGCATTTAGAAATGGTCAGGCTTCACTTATAAGAAATATGGACACCTGTGCAATCACAAGACTTGCAGGTCTCCAGCAAGACCTGGACAGAGGGCTGAAGGCTTCATCCCACCCAAGACACTTTGAAGCCTTCAAGCTCCAGGCCCCAATTTGAGATTACAAAACCCAGAAAAAAGCTGAAAACACAGGTTTCTCCACTTACAATAAGCACACCAGAGCCTCTGTCATTCCTTATTCCATGACCATGGTGGCATAACCTCTCATTGTCACAGTGTATAGTGTATATTTCTTCAATATGAGACAGATTTACAAATGAGACAGAGAAGAAGTGCCTCTGCCAAGTGACCCTGAAATCAAAACTTGAAGATGTTCTATATTATAGGGAAGAGTATAAATATTAATAGTGCCTAAGCATTACTCTGAAAATGTACCTTTTGTCTTGAACCCCACCTACCAAATGTAAGTTTCCTGGCACCAACAAGGCAGCACACATGTGGTAGATGGGAATACTACCACACAAGTATGCTGCCATGGATTGGCCCCAGCAAAAAAAAAATTACAGTAAGTATTTGATACAATTTTCTGTTTTTGCGAAACATGGCAGCATATTGTAAGTATTTGATACATTTTCCATTTTTCGTGGTACATGATGGGGCTACTACCACACAAGTATGCTGCCACAAGTATGCTTTTCTGCCATGCATTGGCCCCACAGGAAAGAAAAAAAAATATTGTAAGTATTTGATACAATTTTCCATTTTTCGCCAACATGGCAGCATACATGTGGTAGACGGGGCTACTACCACACAAGTATGCTGCCATGCATTGGCCCCAGGAAAGGAAAATTACAGTAAGTATTTGATACAATTTTCTGTTTTTTTGCCAACATGGCAGCATACATGTGGTAGACGGGGCTATTACCACACAAGTATGCTGCCATGGATTGGCCCCAGGAAAGGAAAATGATGGTATTTGATACAAGTTTCTGTTTTCCTGGCACAAACACGGCAGCATACATGTAGTAGACAGGGCTACTACCACACAAGTATGCTGCCATGGATTGGCCCCAGGAAAGGAAAATTATGTTAAGTATTTGATACAAGTTTCCATCTTCCTAGCGCCAACATGGCAACATACATGTGGTAGATGGGGATACTACCACACAAGTATGCTACCATGGATTGGTGCCAGGAAAGGAAAATGATGGTAAGTATTTGATACAAGTTTCAGTTTTCCTGGCGCCAACATGGCAGCATGCATGAGGTAGGCGGGGATACTACCACACAAGTATGCTGCCATGGATTGGCGCTAGGAAAGGAAAATTATGGTAAGTATATGATACAATTTTCCATTTTTCGACAACCATGCAGCATACATGTGGTAGATGGGGATACTACCACACAAGTATGTTGCCATGGATTGGCCCCAGGAAAGGAAAATTATGGTAAGTATTTGATACAATTTTCCGTTTTTTTTTTCGCCAACATGGCAGCATACAAGTGGTAGACGGGGCTACTACCACACAAGCATGCTGCCATATTGGCGCCAGGAAATGAAAATTATGGTAAATATTTGATACAAATTTCCGTTTTCCTAGCGCCAACGTGGCAGCATACATGTGGTAGACGAGGCTACTTGGCGTAAAATCATCTTTCATATTTTACAAAAGAATTGGGTTGTATATTTTGCTTTTTTTTATTCATTAAAGATGTAATTTTTTTATTCAAAAAAATAATGTAAAAAAAATGCACATTCTCTGTAAAAATTACATCTAAATGAATTTTAGCATTCACAAACACAATATAAAGACCCCATTTTTCTCGTAAAATATAAAAGCTGATGTTGTGTCGGATAAAGAGATACTAAAAATTTCAAGATTTAAAACTGCGTAAGGCTGTGAAATGGCAAAAAAAACTACGGTCCCTAAAATTGCGCAAAGGTAACGCTTTAAAGCTTTTACAGGTTATCAGTTTAGAGTTAAAGTGATTCACTCATTTTCCTAATTGGATTAAATTGGAAAAATGTGTGAATACTGGGAACAATCTTTGTCAGGCCCCTTTCACACTGACGGTACGATCGGGTCTGCCTGTCAGTTTTTTAGGTAAACCCGATCGGATCATCCATAGACCTCTATGAACCAGTGGGTGTCAATGGACAAGTGTCAGCTGACACCCACCAGCATCTGATCCGATGCTGTACGCCAAAGGCTCCTTTCACATGGGGCAGACCCATCAGCGGATCCTCTTAATCTCTTTGCTGATCCCCGCTTAGCAAGCGGATCACAGATCCATGTATGCTCCGCTGCTGCAGAGTGGACACAGACACAGCCTGCTGTCCTCTATGGGCAGTCAGATGGAAATGGACCACCTGTCCATTTCCATCCAACTGCCATCCGATCTGACAGATGGATCCCCATCTGTTTCTTTTTTTTGGAGATCAGATTGGATTGGATATCGACGGGGTGTAAACAAACACATTTCCGCTCCATAGAGGAGAATAGAGGTTCCAATCGCGTCCGCCTGAAAAACGGGAACATCCGTGTGAAAGGGGCCAAAAACTGACAGATGGGAATCCATTCCCCATCTGTCCGGCAGATCGGATCAGGTGACAGTCGGGTGGAATAGAACAAGCGGACTGTTTCCATCCGATTGCCCCATAGAAGTCAGCGGTGTCTGTCTGCTCTGCAGCAGCGGAGCGGACACGGACCTGTCATCTGCCAGCTCAGCGGGGATCAAAGGGAGAGATTCCCGCTGAACAGGTGCATCCGCTGACAGGTCCGTCCCATCTGAAAGGGGCCTGAATCTTGTGTGAAAATATTTGTAAATGGATCTCTTGATCATTTTCTAAACTAGCACATGACTGGTTAAAAGGGTGGTATTTTTTCATAAGAGTTTGGCTTTCACCTAACCCATAACCTAACCTCCTAGAGGTTGCGGAAAAACAAATTTGAGTTTTGAACAGAATTGAATATTTTTTGGAGGTTCTTATCTGTTTTTCTTTCCTAGGTGGTGTCAGGGGAGTTCAGCGAGGACAGCGAAGTATATAACTTCACGCTACACACGGGAGATGAGTTAACTCTCATGGGTCAAGCAGAGATCCTGTGCGCTAAGACGGTAAAGGAAAAGTCCCGTTTCAACACCATCTTGAAGAAACTGGGCAAGACTGGCACAATGGGCAAAACAGGTGAAAGGTAAAATGCCCTGCTTGATATGCATGAACCATCGAACAAATGAGAGCCTAAGCCTTCCATTCCAGTGCAAGGGAAGCTTCAGTACCAGGAGCCGCCGTTGGAGCTACAGATGCAGGAGGGCGAGCACACCATCCGGAGTATTATTGAGAAGGTTCGGCTGCCTGTTAATGTCATAGTGCCTACTCGCCCTCCTCGCAACCCCTATGACCATCACATTATCCGTGAAGGTCATCGGTACAAGCTGGTCAGCATTATCTCCAAAACTGTTGTTCTTTGTTGTCTTCTACGTAAGGAGGAGGTCAACCCCTTCCATTTCTTGCTGCTCACAGACATGCCCCGTTTTTTCACTCCCTGAGGGTCTTCTTTGTGGAGATCCCTATTTTGACAAGTTGGTAAAAGACTGCGCCCTTTACTGCCAGGAACAGAAGTTCAACCCAGATGAGTATTCCAAGGCTGTTCGGGAGACAAAGACTGATTTTGCCGAGGAATGTGCCAGCCCACGTAAGATACGGGTTTGCTTGCAGGGTTTCTCGGCTGGCTCAATAAACTACACCCGTGAGGAGCTGAGTCAGGGCCTACAACGCTTATCCTTGTGTGTTTACAGCGGGACAATCTCTAATGACACCAGTCCCCAGGATTGTCGAGAGGCCCAGCACCAGGGACTGGGATCATCATCTGACAACTCAGACTTAGATCGGGAGTACATGACACCAGATTGGGTGGAACATGATTTTAGGACTCAGGAACAGTTGGAGATACCCTATGAAGAACTTTGGACAAACCAGAATGTGGAAAATTACTCTGAGCCCAGCAGCAAGCCTGTTGGGCTAGAGAGCGGCAACAAGACCCAGCATGATCTTATCTCCTTTGCAACCTCCCCATCTCCACTTGAGGGCAAGTCATGTTCACCACCTCCACCAGCCTTAACTATCGATGAAGTAAAGACAGAAGCACCTCCGCCAGTGCCCCCAAAATCTGAAGCAGTAAGTACAGAATTCTTGTTTCTTCCCAGTTTTTGTACTGGAATGCTTGATGGAAATTTGTTATACATTTTACATACATTTGCTCACCAATTTGTTTTGTAGCAATTCACGTGTGTTAGAGAACATGCCTACAGAGAATAATTTCAAAGCCACCAAAGATATTTTGCTTTCCAAAAAGCTTGAATGTTTTGTGCAAGTGTTGTAGCAGCAGCACACTGATACAAAACATCACAGAAAAGGAGAGAAACCCTATAGTGTAACTATAAGTAAAAAAGGAAAGTAACTGAATTTAGTTATGTAGCACAGAATCCAGAGTGGTTCCATTGTTTTGTGGGGTTTATTGGCTGAAGAACTGGGATGGGGAATGGGGTGAGGCTTGGGATACTCTAGAACTAGTGTAACTTGAACTGAAGGCATTCTCTTGTAGAACTAAATTCTTCAAAGTAGGCCTCTAAAAAAAAAAGAGGATGTGGACATACACCTTCAGGGAGATCCCACACTGGAAATAGCCCTTATCCAGCAAAATCTGGAACAGTCTCTTACTAAAAAGAGGTCAAGCAGCAACAGTCTCATCTCTCTCAGGCCTTTACTCACTGTGTACCTGTATATATGGATTCCTCCTTCCAGTATCAGTCAGACCATGTACCGTGGGCCTCCTGGCCAGATCCTCAGCAGACGTTACCTCTGACTGTTCTTCTCACTTTAGGAACTGGCTCCCCAGCTGTCCCTGAGCTGGGACAGCATTAAACCACTTGCAGGCTTCCACTGGATGGCTCAGGAGGGCAAACAGCCCCTCCAGGCTAGGTTTCTCTCCACCAGGCAAAGCATCCTGCTGTTCTAGGCCCCAGGCTATTTATGTACACCTCAGCCCCCTGCTGGTCACCCATCCAACCAGGGATTGGCTAAATCAGCATAAATATTCAAGCTGCCCATTTGGTTACTGCATGCCAGTGTTCTAGAACAGCCCATAGTGTTCTGGAATGCAAGGAGGAGCAATCAAACCTATAACATGTGAAACCCAGAACAGACAGAAGTAATCAACTTGCTCCTCTGGCTACAGAGGAGCCAAAATGGAATTTGCCTAAACCTACCAGCACCTTACAGAGGGTGCTACAGTTAAAAATACTGAGTGATTGATATGCTTTTGATCAATAGGCCCACCAAAAAGCAACAATCACTGCAAAGAAGACCCAGGGCAGTCATTAGAGTTGTTACTAGAAGGGGAATGGTAAATCTTCCAATGGGGACTCTTGTTCTGATAACACCTGTCCAAGAAGATATACCTTCTTACTTTGTAAGCATCCTTTTGTGTCGGCATGGCAGGAAGTGAACAAAAATCACACCAATGGGACACTGGGATTTCACTATATCCTACGCCATACTTTTATTCCTGTTTTGTATTCTATGCTTTTATTTTTGTCTTGTAGGTAAGGCAGGAATGTCGTCTTCTGAATGCCCCACCAGTGCCCCCACGGGATGGCCGCCTCTTCTCCTCATCATCCAGCCCTCCTGTCCCACCACGGCTTCCGAAAGCCCAACTATCTCAAGCGCAGTCACCCAGCCTTTCCTACTACTCATCTGGGCTGCATGACATGTAAGTAACTACTGGCCTGCCAAATCAAACCACATGCTGTCATAGCTTAAGAGGACCAACCATGACTGAGGTTAGGCTAAAACTATAATGTATGTTTAACATTATTGTTACAAGAGCTTTTTTTCTCAGAGAAAAAGTGCAGGAACTCCCCGTCTGAGTCACTTCCTGTCTCTGCCCCCTACCCACCTCTGAGCACCGTACTTGGTTCCACCCCCTACCCACCTCTGAGCACCGTACCTTGGTTCCACCTCCTACCCACCTCTGAGCATCATACCTTGGTTCGACCCCCTACCCCACTCTGAGCACCGTACCTTGGTACCACCCCCTACCCACCTCTGAGCACCGTACCTTGGTTCCACCCCCTACCCACCTCTAAGCACCGTACCTTGGTTCCACCCCTACCCACCTCTGAGCACCGTACCTTGGTTCCACCCCCTACCCACTTCTGAGCACCGTACCTTAGTTCCACCCCCTACCCACCTCCCAGTACCACTCCTTTTAGAGAATACAGAACCAAGGGTCATTTTGTGGTGCTAAGTAATTTTTGTGGAATTTGTTAATGATAAAAGCAGTAAAGTAGATCCCCTGCAGCCAGTAGTAATAGACCCCCCCCTCCCAGAAACAATGGGCCCCTGCAACAAAATACCACCCCAACAATAGACCCCTAGTAGTAGCAACAGATCTCCCAGTAGCCAGCACCAAAAGACTGTCCAGCAGCCAGCAACAATAGACCCCTCTCTCCAACAGTAGATCCCTTCCAGCGACATTAGACCCCTAGCAACAATAGATTCCCCACCAGCAGCAATAGACAAAAATAGATCCCCTCTAGTGACAATAGAAGCCTCAGCAGCCAGCATCAATAGACCTTACAGTACACCCAACACCCCCTTGACGTTACATACATTCAGTGCTGGAGGTGCTGGAACTGCGTTCCCCCGCGTTCCTGCTGAAAAAAAAAGCACTGGTTGTTACTATGCAGGTTTATTTATGGAAAAACAATATTGTGTCATCATTTTGATTATTTTGTTTGAACACGACTCATGATACTGAGAGGTCCTCCCAAGCCTGACAATTGTCTTACACCAAATCTTGGTATCTCCGGTTCCTTAGTGTGCATAACAGTATCTAATTATTATTATTATTATACAGGATTTATATAGCACCAACAGTTTGCTCAGCACTTTACAATATAACAGGAGACCATACAGTTCAATACAAGAGGGTTAGGAGGGCCTGATCCTTGGAGCTTACAATCTAGGAGATAATAGAGCCCTGTAGTCATTTATGTGCCTTTAACCACTTGACCCCAAAGCCAATCTGATTTCTCATTCATGTAAAAGAAAAACTACATTTTTTTGCTATAAAATTACTTAGAACCCCCAATCATTATACAGGGTGTCCCTAAAGTCTGGAAACAGGCAAAATGCGTATTTTCAATAAATTTCAATACATTTTTAAAACTTTAGCACTACCCCCCTTAGGAGTCGCTGAGTTTTGGGTCCCAATATAGTACTGCATAACCAAGCAACCCGCATTTTCTTTAACACTTGCACACCACTGGAGACAGTAAACAGTCACTGATCTTATTTTTTTGTAATTTTACTTGGATGGGGTTGAGGGATGAATGGGATACCCAAGGAACTGTGAACATGAGGAAAAATCTCCTTAGCAACTATGTACAAGTCCATAGACAAATAGCCTCTCCTTGAAGAACTCTCCAGCCCTTCTGGTGTGCCTACTCAGACCCCAGATGAATCCTCCTCTTCATCCAGTTGCCTGAGGGAATCCCTGAGCAAGGGGACCCAGAAAATGCCACAGTAGTATAGCAGCCCCAGATGAGGAGCTAGTTGGGTTCTCCACTTTGACTGCCCTCTGTGCTTTTCCGGCCCAGGGGGTGCAGGATTACATTTTTTAACCTTTATATTTTTAACTTTTTTTTTTCCTTTTTTTTTACATGCTGTCAGAGTAGTTCAATGTCACTTGGGGGGGGGGGGGGTGATCAGGGATTTTTTTACACTGTTATTGCTTATACATTGATGATCACTGTATAAGCAACAGTTGTAGCTGTCATTAATGGGTTTTCCATTCATGAACAGTTTGCTTACTGTTGTGATCTGTGATTGGCTACAGCGAATCACATGGTACAGGTAGCCAGGTACCATGTGATTGCTGTGGGCCCATCACAGATCACAACAGTAAGCAAGCTGTTCATGAATGGAAAGCCATTCATGACAAGCTGTTTACATTGTTATGTGACCTGTTCAAAATTCTGTATGCAGCTCTACAGAACAGACAATGCCCAGTCCACATGTGCTTTTCTTCTTCACTGCAACAAGGAAACAGGAAACTTTATTTAGATAAAAGACACACAGTATACCATGGATGCAGCTAAAAACATAAACACTGCCATCTACTGGTTGAAGAACATATCTCTACTGAATAATGATATAGTTGTTGCACAAAATACATGAACATTGTATTCTAATAAGATCACTATGACCATTCATGCACAGTGGTCACAGGATGGGCTCACTGTGCGCTCCTAATCCAGAACAGGCTAGATCACATATATGTATATGCTGCCCTTGGCTGTGGCTGGGCGACAAGTAGTTAATATTTATTTTATATACATTTACATTTTTTTTGGATCAACTTTGTTATCACAAGGGTTGAACAACATCCCTTCTGATATCATGGGCTCTGACAGGTTCTTTTTATGGATAAATCTGCCCCAGATCTCTCCTCTGGCCTCCAAAGCATCTGAGATCGCTTTTATCAAATGCTGTACAAGCTGGTAATGGCTTGTAAATGAATATTCAGAAACTAGAAGTGACGAAATCCTTATCACTTTCAGTTTCTGATGTCAGAGAAGAGGGGCGGGAACTTTCGATCCTTCCATGCTTCACAGGGAATGAGACCCGAACAGTCACATTGGTTCCGGGCTCCCTGATGGGACGGGAGAACCCACAGTGGATGAACCAGGAACCCATAAATATGTTGTGTCTGTGTCTTTGCTGTTTGTTCCTTTTTTTTGGTACCAAAATTATTTTATTGATACATTAATAAAACACAAATGTTTTAGGCTGCGTAGGCACCAATAGAAATAACATCTATAAAGTGAGATAAAGACTTGGACCCATGTAGGGATCCCCATAGTAACAGCAATGCATCCAAATAGCTACTATGGTTTGGTGCAATATAATAAAGTTCACTCGTAATTCTATGAAGCCTAAGCCTCAGTATATTTGTTGCCTTGACAAGTGTACGACCCAGTCCCGAGAAGTGGTCCCTTAAGTGAGTATGTGTCAGGAATGGACTTGCCAATGGTGGTGGGACTCACCTGCCTTGTGGGCTGCAGTACCAGGGCTGGCCAGCGGTGCGCTCAGCAACCAGAAGCTCACTCCTGCAGTCAGCCATCACCTGAGGCTGATTGCAGGAGGTGTATTTAAGGGATGGCCAGACCTGCAGTCAGGGCCTTGGTGTAATGTCCGGGCTCCCGGTAAGACCAGAGATGCGTGAACTGAACTGACACAGGGAACCGCAGGCTCAAGTATGGTGTAACAATATAATTTATTAAGGGTTATACACAAATATAACGCTCAATATAACAAAACCAAACCTCCAACTGATAACGGAATGTACACAGATGAGAGCAGTCAGTGCTGGTGAGGTGGAGTGGTCAGGCGGGCCGGGTCAGGAATCATCGGGCAGACAAGACACAAAGGAGTAGGCAGAGCGTAGTCAGACGGGCCGGGTCAGGAACAATCAGGCAGACAAGGTACTAAAGGAGCAGGCTGGAGAGTGGTCAGGAATAGCTGAGGTCAGGACAGGCGGAGTTCATTCAGGGTCAGGATCAAGCAGAATCAGGAATCAGGCAGGAAGCAGACAGGATGCAGGTACAGGGGCTCATGGGAAACATACACCAAGGCCCTGACTGCAGGTCTGGCCATCCCTTAAATACACCTCCTGCAATCAGCCTCAGGTGATGGCTGACTGCAGGAGTGAGCTTCTAGTTGCTGAGAGCACCCGCTGGCCAGCCCTGGTACTGCAGCCCACAAGGTAGGTGAGTCCCACCACCATTGGCAAGTCCATTCCTGAGAGTATGATATATACAAATAAAAAGGAAGCATTCTAGGAATGCTGGCCAGGTGTAGGACCCTGAAAATCAGGTCTGGTCATGCCAAATATAAAGGGCCTTCAATGTAAAAAACAGGTCCTCTCAAGAGCAGGAGACACTAAAAAAAAGATAAGAAAAATTGTAAAAAAAAAAAAAGGGTGGCGGGTTGGCTGGAGGAGTTAAAAGAGTGAAAAAGAGATATAGAAGAAAGGAGTAGAAAGGTCTCGCCGTGGGGGAATTTGGACACAAGCCAGTTGTGACAGTGGGATCCAAGGGAAGATGTTAAAAATGCCCTCTAAAGGTGGGCCAGCTGAGCAGTGAATCTGGTTATCGGCTGATAGATGAGCCAGGGCTGCCAAACAGATATAAACCTATCATGCTTGTCCTCCAATACCGCCGTCAATTTTTCATTAATAAAAATGTCCTGGATTCTAGACTTCATTTTCTCAAAGTAAAGAACCGGGCAGTGGTATGTTTAGGTTTTGTGCTGCCTTAGGCAACACAAAAAATCTGATGATTTCTCTGTATCCAGGAAACTTTAGAAGTTTCTGGATGTTAGGTGTGAAGTTATGCAGATGACACCATGAATATTGATACAGCCTCAGCCTATCTCAGAGAGGGGGGCTTTGAAAACATGTTGGGTCACTGTATATATTCAGTGGGCACGCGGGGCTCTGTGTCTTTCCAGCCTGGGAGAGGGCACGTTGCTCTCCCAGGCAGCTACTGCCGTGCGGCCTCAAATGGGTCACCTAAGCGGCTCTGGGAAGTCCTCCGAGTGTATATAATTCCTAATTTGGAGTATTTCACTTATCTCCCTCATCCCTATCCAAGTTCTCCAATAAAAAAAACAACAAAAACAACACCCCTAGACTGGTTATTGGAGAAACATGGGAATGAGCCTATGTGTCTGGCTGCAGGGCAAAGCAACTGGGGAGGACCTGGACAGTATTCCTGCATCTTCTACGGGAGTAGCGCTACACATAGCATTGGCAGGATTTAGGCAGTAATTTGTATACAAAATCTGGGGATTGGATCTGTTTGTAGGCCACATCTCTGGCTTTGGAATGGGATGTCCAACAATCTCATTTAGGTGGGATGGTCAGGTGTCCACAAACATGTTTATTGTAAATTGCATCTTTATATTCACTTCATTGTTAAACTGATGTATATTATTTTATCTTCACAGATCAGGAAATCGTAGTGGCAGTTGTTCACCCTCCCAGATTCCTATTCCTTATACTGCTACCCTTGTACCTGGGGAGACTGCAAGGCAGGAGATGCATCTAACCGGCAGATGTCCAACAGCATGGCCTCCACTGCCCAGCCCACGCAGACATCTTGGTCCGATTCTTGGGCCTATGCGGACACCGGTCCAAGTGTGGCCAGCGGTCGCTCTACCCCTCTACTCAGCACGGACACTACCATTAAGACTTACTACAGCTGCCCCAGGTTGAAACCCCCACAAACCCAAAAACGCTTTGCCCCTTTTGGAGCCTTGAACCCTTTTGCCAACCCAGCCTTTGCTTCTACTCCTTCTTCCTCCGGAGAGTGGTTAGATCCTCTAGAACACGCTAAATCCTCTTCATCTTCCGTCTCAGATGCCCTGGATCCCTTCGATGTCAGTAATAGTCAAAGCACATCCCCGGACTGCTCTTCCATTGGGTCAGAGCTACGATTCATTCCTGAACCTGTATTTAAAAGTGGAGGATCAGGGACTTCTCCTGCTCCACCACCCCGACCAGCAAAAGGATTTGAGACCGAAAATATTGTAATTAGGAGCACAGCCCCTCTGTCACCTACCATTGTAAGAGGTGCAGAGGGAGGGATCACTAGAGTTTATCTTACTCAAGGTGTCATTGAGGTGCCACCAATCTCATCCAGGAGTAACATAGATGTATCTTCCTCTCACACACCTGGTGTTCCCAGAGCACCTGGAGACCCTACAGCATGGCACCCACCGCCTGATCTATCAGCTCTGTCAGTGGAGGAAGTCTCAAGGTGCCTCAGGTTCATCGGACTGTCTGAAGACGTAGTGACGTTCTTTGTGAGGGAGCGTATTGACGGAAGCATCTTCGTCCAGTTGACGGAGGAGATCCTTTCGGATGATTTCAAGTTGACTAAACTTCAAGTTAAAAAGATTATGCAGTTCATCAAAGGATGGAGGCCTAAGATCTAGATGGCAATGGACGCCGGGCACTTTTTAGCCTACAAAAAGTAGACTGTGAGATGTAGATAACGTTGCTGGACACAGACTGGGTTATTTTTATCAATAGACTTCCTGACTTTTCCATTTTTTCCATATTTTGCGGACAATATTTGTTTATAACTAATAGGTCCTCACAAAACGGTATACATAGCACAATTTGCACAAAAAATGTAACACAATGTTAAAGGCAACAACTTCTAAAGGTTTAATATTGGAGCTGTGTATTAAATATTGGAAATGGCACAACTCCTGGAAATGTTCTATATTTTGAAGATGATGTTGCATGAGATGCTTGGGGACCTCTTTTTAGGTCATTCTTTCAGAGTGTATTGCAAATATGAATAATAAGCAATTAGGGTTTGTTCTCCGCTCATTATGTCTTGGCCCTGTGTTGGATCTTGGACACAGTATGCAAAAACATCAAACATATAGACATGGTATTGATGACAGGCACATATTTGGAAGAGTGAGGAAGCGTTAGGAGCTTGGACAATGTATTTATTGTTGTCTTTCTATCCCTGTCCGGGTGACAGCTCCGTCCATTTCTCGTACAGTTTCCAGAGGAACAGAAAGAAAAGCCCCCAAATGGGGTCATAGAAGAACCTGACAGGAGATTTTAACTCTTCCCCATTCTATCAATAACTAAAAAAATAAAAATGATAGCTGGAGTTAGACTTCAAATTCCCTCTTTACATTAATCAACTGAACAAATGTCAGCAAAAAATCAATCCCACCAAATTATATTAAACTATATTAAACCCAAAACGAAAAATGTAATATAATGCAGCTTACCAGACTTTAGATGTGATGGATGCAATACTTTTCTTTTAACCTTTTTCCTCTATTTATACCTACTTGATCCTGCCAGTTACACTCTTGTTCTAGGTTGACGACACTCACTGCCAGGGGCGGACTGACCATTTGGAAACTCGAGGTCGGGGTCAGTAGGGGGCCCCATGAGATGCCCCTGGTACCTTTTTCATAGGCTTTTTTGAGTTTGGGCAAGGACACGGGGGCCCCATGAATCCCTATTGCCTGGGGGCCCCATGAGTTGTCAGTCCACCCCTGCTCACTGCAATGTACCTATGGATGAGCAGCGATGTCCCCCTAGGCTGCTCTCCTGATCTGGACAGGAGACACTTCCTGTTCTGTTTCAAATGCCAATTCATGCATTGACATACACTCACCGGCCACTTTATTAGGTTCACCTATATAATTGCTTGGTAACACAAATTGCTAATCAGCCAATCACATGGCAGCAACTCAATGCATTTAGGCATCTAGACGTGGTGAAGACGACTTGCTGAAGTTCAAACTGAGCATCAGAATGAGGAAGAAAGGGGATTTAAGTAACTTTGAATGTGGCAGGGTTGGTGCCAGACGGGCTGGTCTTAATATTTCAAAAACTGCTGATCTACTGGGATTTTCACACACAACCATCTCTAGGGTTTACAGAGAATGGTCCGAAAAAGAGAAAATATCCAGTGAGCGGCAGTTGTGTGGAGGAAAATGCCTTGTGGATGTCAGAGGAGAATGGGCAGACTGGTTGCTGCGACATTCAGATGGTGGGGTCAGAATTTGGTATAAACAACATGAAAACATGGATCCATCCTGCCTTGTATCAACAGTTCAGGCTGGTGGTGGTGTCATGGTGTGGGGGGAGATTTCTTTGCACTAGCAAGGTGGACTTAATAAAGTGGCCAGTGAGTGTATACCCTTAGACACAGCCTCCTGCTGACCTGGCAACATTCACAGTCAGTTTAACTTCGTCTCCCAGGACCCTGCATTCACTATATCTGGTCTCTCCCTGGACCCTTGCATTTCACTATATCTGGTCTCCCCTGACCATGCATTCACTATATCCTGGTCTCCCCGGACCCTGCATTCACCTATATCTGGGTCACCCTGGACCCTGCATTCACTATATTCCGGTCTCCCCTGACCCTGCATTCACTATATCCGGTCTCCGCCAGAGACCCTGCATTCACTATATCCTGGTCTCCCCGGACCCTGCCAGCATTCACTATTATTCGGTCCCCAGACCCTGTTCACTGACATTCAGGTTGCACTATATCCTGTCTTCACCTTCATCGGTCACCGGACCTGCATTCACTTTATCCCTGGTCTCCACCCATGCATTCACTACTATGCATTCATCTATATCTTCGGTCTATATCCCCTGAAGACCACAGCATTCACTATATTGATATCCCCACACGTCTGTAACCCCTACCCGGACCCTGCATTCACTATATCCAGTCTCCCCGGACCCTGCATTCACTATATCCACTGGTCCCCCCCGCATTCACTTTAGATCCCTCTCCCGGACCACACTATCACTATATCCGCGTCTCTTTATCCCCGGACCCCGCATTCTACTATATCCGCTCTCCCCGGACCCCGCATTCACTATATCCGCTCTCCCCAGGACCCTGCATTCACTATAATCATACAGGTCTCACCCGGACCCTGCATTCACTATATCTGGTCTCCCCGGACCCTGCATTCACTATATCCGTCTCCCCGGACCCGGACCCCACATTCACTTCGCTATATCCAGGTCTCCCAGGACCCCGCATTCACTATATCCGCTATCCCGGACCCCGCATTCACACTATTTATCCGCTCTCCCGGGACCCCGCATTCACTATATCCGGTCTCCCCGCTGACCCTGCATTCACTATATCTGGTCTCCCCGGACCCCGCATTCACTATATCCCGCTCTCCCGGACCCCCTCCGCATTTCACTATATCCGGTCTCCCCCGGACACCCTGCATTCACTATATCCGGTCCCCCAGGACCCTGCATTCACTATTCCGGTCTCTTCCCGGACCCCACGCATTCACTATATCCGCTCTCCCCGGACCCCGCATTCACTATATCCGGTCTCCCCGGGACCCTTGCAAGTTCACTATATCAGGTTCTCCCCGGACCCCTGCATTCACTATATCTGGTCTCCCCGGACCCTGCATTCACTATATCCGGTCTCCCCGGACCCCACATTCACTATATTCCAGTTCTCTCCCAGGACCCTGCATTCACTATATTCGCTCTCCCTGACCACGCATTCATATATCCGCTCTCCCCGGACCCCGCATTCACTACTTATATCCGGTCCCCGGACCCTGCTCATTCACTATATCGGTCTCCCCGGACCCCGCATTCACTATAATCCGCTCTCCCCGGAGACCCTACATTCACTATATCTGTCTCCCCGGACCCTGCATTCACTATATTCCGCTCTCCCCGGACCCTGCATTCACTATATCCTGGTCTCCCCGGACCCCGCATTCACTATATCCGGTCTCCCCGGACCCCGCATTCACTATATCCGGTCTCCCCGGACCCTGCTTTCACTATATCCCCCTCTCCCCGGACCCTGCATTCACTATATCTGCTCTCCCCGGACCCCGCATTCACTATATCCGCTCTCCCCGGACCCCCCCCCCGCATTCACTATATCCGGCTCTCCCCGGACCCGCATTCACTATATCCAGCTCTCCACCGGACCCCGCATTCACTATATCCGGTCTCCCGGACCCTGCATTCACTATATCCGCTCTCCCCGGACCCCGCTTTCACTATATCCGGTCTCCCCGGACCCCGCATTCACTATATCCGCTCTCCTGCCGGACCCTGCATTCACTATATCCGCTCTCCCCGGACCCCGCATTCACTATATCAAGCCTCTCCCCGGACCCCGCATTCACTATATCCGCTCTCCCCGGAGGACCTGCATTCACATTCACTATACCCTGCCGCTCACTCCCCAGGACCCTGCATTCAACTATATCCCCGCTCTTCACCCGGGACCCCGGCATTCACTATATCCGGTCTCCACTCTGCCCGGACCCCCGCAACACTATATCCGCTCTCCCCCGACCCTGCATTCACTATATCAGATCCACCGGACTCACTCCCCGGACTCCCGCATTCACTATATCCGCTCTCCCCGGACCCCGCATTTCACTATATCCGCTCTCCCCCTCACTTTTTGGACCCCTCATTCACTATATCCACTCTCCCCGGACCCCGCATTCACTATATCCGCTCTCCCCCGACCCCGCATTCACTATATCCGCTCTCTCCCCGGACCCCAGCATTCACTATATCCGCTCTCCCCAGGACCCCTGCATTCACTATATCCGGTCTCCCCGGACCCCGCATTCACTATATCCGCTCTCCCCGCTGACCCTGCATTCACTATATCCGCTCTCCCCGGACCCCGCATTTCACTATATCCGCTCTCCCCGGACCCCGCATTCACTATATCCGCTCTCCCCGGACCCCGCATTCACTATATCCGCTCTCCCCGGACCCCGCATTTCACTATATCCAGGTCTCCCCCGGACCCCGCATTCACTATATCCGCTCTCCCCGGACCCTGCATTCACTATATCCGCTCTCCCCCGGACCCCCGCATTCACTATATCCGCTCTCCCCCACGGACCCCGCATTCACTATATCCGCTCTCCCCGGACCCCGCAATTCACTATATCCGCTCTCCCCCGGACCCCGCATTCACTATATCCGCTCTCCCCGGACCCCGCATTCACTATATCCGCTCTCCCCGGACCCCGCATTCACTATATCCGCTCTCCCCGGACCCCGCATTTCACTGTATCCCCGGACGCTCTCCCCCCCTGACCCCGCATTCACTATATCCGCTCTCCCCGGACCCCGCATTCACTATATCCGCTCTCCCCGGACCCCGCATTCACTATATCCGCTCTCCCCGGACCCCGCATTCACTATATCCGCTCTCCCCGGACTCCGCGCATTCACTATATCCACTCTCCCCGGACCCCCATGGCATCTATATCCGCTCTCCCCGGACCCCGCATTCACTATATCCGCTCTCCCCGGACCCCGCATTCACTATATCCGCTCTCCCCGGGACCCCGCATTCACTATATCCGCTCTCTCCCCGATACTCCTGCATTCCACTATATCTATCCCTCTCCCCGGGACCCCCGCATTCACTATATCCGCTCTCCCCGGACCCCGCAATTCACTATATCCTTCTCCCCGGACCCCGCATTCACTATATCCGCTCTCCCCCCGCATTCACCCCGCATTCACTATATCCGCTCTCCCCGGACCCCTGCATTCACTATATCCGCTCTCCCCGGACCCCGCATTCACTATATCCGCTCTCACCCCGACCCCGCATTCACTATATCCGCTCTCCCCGGACCCGCATTCACTATATCCGCTCTCCTCCCCCGGACCCCGCATTCACTATATCCGCTCTCCCCGGACCCCGCATTCATTCACTGCTCTCCCCCGGACCCCGCATCTATATCCCCGGACCCCGCATTCACTATATCCCGCTCTACCCCGGACCCCGCATTCATTACTATCCGCTCTCCCCGACCCCCCCGCATTCACTATATCCGCTCTCGCTCCCCGGACCCCGCATTCACTATATCCGCTCTCCCCGGACCCCGCATTCACTATATCCGCTCTCCCCCCGGGACCCCGCATTCACTATATCCACCCTCTCCCCGGACCCCGCATTCACTATATCCGCTCTCCCGCCCCCGGACCCCCCATTCACTATATCCGCTCTCCCCCCGGACCCCCGCATTCACTATATCCGCTCTCCCCCCGGACCCCGCATTCACTATATCCACTCTCCCCCCCGGACCCCGCATTCACTATATCCCCTCTCCCCAGACCCCCGCATTCACTATATCCCTCTCTCCCCGGACCCGCATTCACTATATCCGCTCTCCCCTGACCCTGCATTCACTATATCCGCTCTCCCCGGACCCCGCTTTCACTATATCCGCTCTCCCCCCGGACCCGCATTCACTATATCCGCTCTCCCCGGACCCCGCATTCACTATATCCCTCTCCCCGGACCCCGCATTCACTATATCTGGTCTCCCCAGACCCCGCATTCACTATATCCCACTCTCTCCCGGACCCCGCATTCACTATATCTGGTCTCCCCGGACCCCGCATTCACTATATCCTGCTCTCTCCCGGACCCCGCATTCACTATATCCGCTCTCCCCCGGACCCCGCATTCACTATATCCGCTCTCCCCCCGGACCCTGCATTCACTATATCCGCTCTCCCCGGACCCCGCATTCACTATATCCGGTCTCTCCCCGGACCCCTGCATTCACTATATCCGCTCTCCCCCGGACCCCGCATTTCACTATATCCGCTCTCCCCGGACCCCGCATTCACTATATCCGCTCTCCCCCGGACCCCGCATTCACTATATCCGCTCTCCTCGGACCCCGCATTCACTATATCCGCTCTCCCTCCCGGACCCCGCATTCACTATATCCGCTCTCCCCCCAGACCCCGCATTCACTATATATCCGCTCTCTCCCCGGACCCCGCATTCACTATATCCCGCTCTCCTCGGACCCCGCATTCACTATATCCGCTCTCCCCGGACCCCGCATTCACTATATCCGCTCTCCCCGGACCCCGCATTCACTATATCCATCTCCCCTCCCCGACCCCGCATTCACTATATCCGCTCTCCCCGGACCCCGCATTCACTATATCCACTCTCCCGGACCCCGCATTCACTATATCCGCTCTCCCCCGGGACCCCCGCATTCACTATATCCCGCTCTCCCCCTGGACCCCGCATTCACTATATCCGCTCTCCCCGGACCCCGCATTTCACTATATCGCTCTCCCCGGACCCGCATTCACTATATCCGCTCTCCCCGGACCCCGCATTCACTATATCCGCTCTCCCCGGACCCCGCATTCACTATATCTGGTCTCCCCCGACCCCGCATTCACTATATCCCTCTCCCCGGACCCTGCATTCACTATATCCGCTCTCCCCGGACCCCGCATTCACTATATCCGCCTCTCCCCCGGACCCTGCATTCACTATATCTGCTCTCCCGGGACCCCGCATTCACTATATCTGCTCTCTCCCCGGACCCCGCATTCACTATATCCTTACTCTCCCGGACCCTGCATTCACTATATCCGCTCTCCCCGGACCCGCATTCACTATATCGGTCTCCCCCCGGACCCCGCATTCAATATATCCGCTCTCCCCGGACCCCGCTTTCACTATATCCGCTCTCCCCGGACCCCGCATTCACTATATCCTCTCCCCGGAACCCGCATTCACTATATCCGCTCTCCTCGGACCCCCCGCATTCACTATATCCGCTCTCCCCCGACCCGCATTCACTATATCCGCTCTCCCCGGACCCCCGCATTCACTTCACCTATATCCGCTCTCCCCCGACCCCGCATTCACTATATCCGCTCTCCTCGGACCCCGCATTCACTATATCCGCTCTCCCCGGACCCCCACATTCACTATATCTGCTCTCCCCGGACCCCGCATTCACTATATCCGCTCTCCCCCCCCGGACCCTCGCATTCACTATATCCGCTCTCCCCGGACCCCGCATTCACTCATATCTGCTCTCCCTGGACCCCGCATTCACTATATCCGCTCTCCCGGACCCCGCATTCACTATATCCGCTCTCCTCGGACCCCGCATTCACTATATCCGCTCTCCCCGGACCCCACATTCACTATATCTCTCCCCAGGACCCCGCATTCACTATATCTGGGACCCCGCATTCACTATATCCCGCTCTCCCGGACCCCGCATTCACTATATCCTCTCGGACCCGCATTCACTATATCCGTCCCCGGACCCGCATTCACTATATCCGCTCTCCCCGGACCCCGCATTCACTATATCTGCTCTCCCTGGACCCCGCATTCACTATATCCGCTCTCCCCGGACCCCGCATTCACTATATCCGCTCTCCTCGGACCCCGCATTCACTATATCCGCTCTCCCCCGGACCCCACATTCACTATATCCGCTCTCCCCCCGGACCCCGCATTCACTATATCTGCTCTCCCTGGACCCCGCATTCACTATATCCGCTCTCCCTGGACCCCGCATTCACTATATCCGCTCTCCTCGGACCCCGCATTGTCACTATATCCGCTCTCCCCCAGGACCCCACATTCACTATATCTGCTCTCCCCCTGGACCCCGCATTCACTATATCCGCTCTCCCCGGACCTCGCATTCACTATATCCGCTCTCCCCGGACCCCGCATTCACTATATCTGCTCTCCCTGGACCCCCGCATTCACTATATCCGCTTGTAGGAGTTTTTCTCTCCCTGGACCCCGCATTAACTATATCCGCTCTCCTCGGACCCCGCATTCACTATATCCGCTCTCCCCCGGACGCTGCATTCACTATATCTGGTCTACTTGGACTCACATTCACTATATCTGGTCTCCCTGGACCCTCTATTCACTATATCTGCTCTCCCCGGACCCCGCATTTACTATATCCACTCTCCCCCCGAGACCCTGCATTCACTATATCCGCTCTCCCCGGACCCCGCATTCACTATGTCCGCTCTCCACGGATCCCCATTCACTATATATGCTCTCCCCGGACACTGTATTCACTATATCCCCAGCTCTCCCCGGACCCTGCATTCACTATATTCGCTCTCCCCTATGGGCACCCCGCATTCACTATATCCGCTCTCCCCGGACCCTGCATTCACTATATCCGCTCTCCCCGGACCCAGCATTCACTATATGATCTCTCCCCGGACCCCGCATTCACTATATCCGCTCTCCCCGGACCCCACATTCACTATATCTGCTCTCCCAGGACCCCCCACCAGCATTCACTATATCCGCTCTCCCCGACCCCACAGTCACTATATCCACTAAAGCTGAGGCAGTCTAGCCAATGCAGTT